GAATTATTTCCTCGCACTATCGGTATTAAGCCATTTTCTTAAAATTATTAAAGATATGTATATATTTTGTTATTCATTTATTTAATGTCGGTTCATTTCCGCTACTAGGACCAATCACCGACACCAGGAGACGAGCTATCCCGACCTGGAAATTTTGGTGCAATCCCCTTCTGTATCGAAGTGTAGGGATGTTTTACTTGCCAAATATTTAGTAAATAAGGAACCGACTGCTTTACATTTCCTTCAAAGAAGGACGCCTAAGATTGTATTGCTTCTTTTTCATAACTGGATATGCTCCCCTGGAATACAAAGTAATTTAAAAATTAGTTGATTTTTTATTGGTTCGGTTTATTTTTCAGCTATCACTCACCCTGCCTTTTTTAAATTATATTTTTTACTAAAATCATCATCAACATGTTATATATAAAAAAGGCGTTAAATAAGGGGCACGATTAGTAAATGTGCAATCACACCAAATTTGCGTATGTCGTTGAAACAAAAAATCACAAATTCATTTAAATCTAATTTCTATCATTTTATAACACTGTACATCAGTCATATAACAAAATGGTGACCTAGACGTAGTTTTGAATAAGTTCAAATGTTTGAAAACAAGAAAATCGTTAATGTGATTCTGCGATAAGTTTTGATGAGCTTCAGCATATTTCATACAATCGTGTTAATTATTTTGTTGTTTGTTTTTTATTCTTTATATTTCTGTATTACTAGATTTACAGCAGTTGTTTAATTATGTTTTGATTACTTCAATATTAAAAAATAATAAAATTTAAAATCAGGTTTCATTTGTGTACACTATTATTGCGATTTGCGTCCTCAAAAATGCTGTATCCCCACCCCAAAAGGTTCGGCACGTCACTGTGTTTGCTATAGTATACTTTTATTAACACGTTCACTGCGTAGCCGGATTTTTATAATTTAACTAGTGTGCGTTACATATCTCAGGGGTATTGTAGTGGGCCATTATTTATATGCGATACATATCTCCGGGGATATGTAAGACTATTTTTGTTATTGCCATCTAAACTTTAGCGGACAAACTAATCAATATTTTAATGCGACATTTGGAAGACTAACACAGTAATCTATTTGATATTTCATCCGCACAAGACTCCGGGGTATTGTACAACACGGAAGTAAAGATTAGTAAATACACGTTCATAGTACGATTTTAACTCTATTTCTCTTATTTCAACTTTAAAATATTTTTGTCTAATTTAAAAATGATACTAAAATTTTAACACATATTTATGAAATATATATAAAAGTATAAAACGTAACTAATTGTGAGTTCTATTAAAACATGGTAGCCAAAAACCAAGAAATCCAGGGCCATGATTACAATAATTTATGAATTCTGCGTACTTTCTTGTCTGCTTCACGGCTTGAGTTTTTCGAAGGTTTATGTAACAGGTTTTCTTTTTTTCATCCTGCTCTTTCATGCTTCACAAAAGTATGTATTCTCTTCCTAGACACTGTCATGGTCATGGTCTTTTCAACTGCTACATCCTCTTTATATGTTATAAGGTCATCGGCTAGTTGTCTTTTGAATTCGGTCATACCTAATTTAGTATCCACAAGCATATTGAACACTATCCATGAGTTTACTGTGGTAGTTCCAAGCAAAAATTCAAATGCTACTTTTTCTGCAAATGAATTAATTTAAAACGAGTGACACTAAAATGAGAAAACTTACCGGTACTATTTCAGCATTTACGCAAAAATGTGTGATAGGAAGACATTTGGTCGCTAAAATCAACTCCCTTTTTAGCCTTATTATATCCTATAACGCTCTTTGGTTTGACTACTTCTGGCCTTTTCGTTAATTTTACCTAAATTTAAAATAAAATTGTTATTCCAGATTCAAAATTTCTTACCTGTCGGAATTAAACACTATCGTTATGTGATGGGTCGGTGGTAATCAATAATACAGGGCGTTTATCGACCCACTTTATGATTCTAATGTTTTTACATTGCCATCCCTTAATGCTTCGCCCTTCTTCATTTTGCTTTAATTGTTTGAGGAAGTCCTTTTTCGATTGGACCTTAATGTTCCACAGTAAAGAATCTTTGTTGAAATAAATCCATCGTCAAGCCCACCTAGAATAAAAATTGTCTGCAAATAACATTCTACCTTCCTTCCGGTTAATAGGTTCCAGTAGCTTTTGGACAATAGTGTGTGCATGCCCTATATTAGGATCTGTATTACCCCCTTCCAGTATAGATATATTAATGCTGGGGGTATATCCGCTTGTTGTACATCATTTATACAGCTTCACTCCGTATCAGTGCGTTTTATTAGGAATATATTAGCGAAACATTTTGGTAATTTTCTTGAAGTAGACCTAAAACTTTCTCCAATTTGTATAATCTGGGTTCATATCCTCATTATTTGCAAAATGAATAAATCTAAGAGCAGAAGATATCGGTCTCTTACTAAAAGCTGAGCAATATATTTATTATCATATAGAGAATCTTTTGGACCAATAATTATTCAAAGATGGCAAAGGAGCTAAACCCATAGCTGTAGTAACGCCAAGAAATTTTCGAATTTCATCCCTGTTTGTACTCAGTCCAGGATTTAATTATAGATTTGTCTCTTGTGTAGTTCCTGATGGGCATAAATATTTGTTTCTGTTACTATTAAATCAAGGACTTCGTCCGTAATAAAATATTTAAAAATATCAATCGGCTTTTTGATGGATGTTTTATTTATGCTTTGGTCAAGAGTACACTTTGTGTGATACGTAACCAAAATCTATAGTTGAATTGGTTATTTCATCCCAGCTAATTGTCTCATCGATTGGATTAGCATTAAGGGTGGTACTGCCACTTTCAATAGGTGTACCAATGTACGATGCATTAGGGGAAGTAAGACAATCCTCTACCGTATCTACCTCATCCGTAGAACTTTCAGATGAGGAAACCACATTTGTTTTATCTTTGATAGAATCATCACTACTATATGGATCGGCTATTTTATCTTCAGAAGTCTCCTTGAAACATATTTAATAGTTTTACGCTGACACTTCAAATATGCGGTTCGTTTTTGATAATTTTCCTTAGAGGCCTTCCCTAACGAACAGTAATGGTTTTGCTTTCACGTCTCCACAAAGTTATTTCTATTTTGTTATTTTCGCCCACTTCCCTTCTTTTTCTCTAACTCGATATTTGCATTTTCAGCCTGTATTTGTTCTATTTTGATTCATTATATTTTCACTTTCCACAGTTTCCACTAATACATTTTCTAAGTTTGGACTTTTATCTTCTAACTGAGAATTTTCTTCCACTTTTTTTAGCGGCTAATGCCAACATTTTATCAGTACGACTGGACATGATGTCTATTTCATACAACTACAAACAGCAAACTATACTATATCACTCTATACCTCAGTTAGGGAATGCAATGCTTGTAATAAGGGAACGTTTACCTTTGTCTCCCATTGGTTTGCAAGCCAAGTTTACGCAGCCAAACTTGTCGACACAAGTCTGTACAAGACGCCGGAGATATGCGTCGCATAGAAGTACTAAGTATTGCTCCGGGGAAAATTTCTTTGGGATATGTTTGTTTTTTTTTGGTGTATTATATTTTGCATATTATTACGAGTAAACGCTTTTTGTATCAATGAAATACAATGAAATACAATGAAAATAACGATTTTACGGCTTCCGCATGGTGACAATAGAGTTTCGAGTTCCGCCCAAGAGAAAAGAACCTTTACATACCGCCGGGATATGTAACGCAGTGAACGTGTTAAGATATTCACAATATCCCATTTTTTTTTTTATTTTTATCTTCTGAAGCTTACTTACACCACATGAATAATATTTAATTATCTAAAATACAGACAGTTATCCAGTATATTACTGGAAAAATACTAATTCAATTTTTGAGATAACAAGAATTATTCATGTGGTAGTGAACAAGAAAGAAAAAAAATGAAAAGTTTAGATTCGAATTTTTCCTTAAATTGAATATTTACTTACATTAAATTTCATAAAGCTAACAACTCTTGCTTTGTGACATTCAATATACCTGAAGACATACCTGACTACAAATAATGGAACAATCCTAATTGGTCGTAATATTAGGTTACATAGTCTTTTGAACTGGTTCAGTCAATGCCGTAACCTTATAAACTTTAATGAACAATCTCCTAAAATATACAATAGATAAACCAAATAAATTAATTTCCCTTTAGATTAAATTAAGAGGTTATTCGCAACAGGATGTACTTACTTCCAAAAATTAATTAACATTTAGATAAATGGAGTAGTCAAAGATGTGGATAAGTGGTGCTTGGCATATAAATTCAATTTTGAATCAAACGAAAACAGCTTCTGCAAATTTGCATGAAACGAATCCCACGGTCTTTATGTCGTGTTTTCAGAAAACGTTAAATAATTGAGTTACCTGACAGAATAAATTTATTTAACTGCTGCTCTACCATTAACTGTCGTGAGAACACAAGGTATCCATGTACTGTTCATTTTCATCTTCAAGAGCTTGAGCTGTATACGCACTCGATGTAGGTATTTAAACCTTTTGAGTTGAATATTTCGTGAACATCCATCTAAGGCTATCCAAACAATTGTTCATATGGATACTGACCATTAATTACCGCGATTTGGGCATGGTAGCCGAGTGGGTAAAGCATTAGAGCTATTAATTGTTACCGAAAATCAATGGTTCGAATCCATCCCGTAGCAAGTTAGAAATTTTATTTGAATTTGTTTCGAATTAAGATGGGAGAAAACTGTCGATGCCCTACATGACGTTCGGACTCTACAATAAACTGTATACCCTCGTCTCTCTTTACTCAACACAAAATCCTAGGATTTTCTAGGAGTTACTTCTGTGACTTGAGAGGCGGTTAAGAAAACATTTTAACAAAACATTTGAAGAGAACATTTAAGAAAACATCTAAAAAACATGAAATGATATACACTGAACCTTAATATGGACCAGAAGGGTAGATAGTTAATGTCAAGTACTGAATAAGATTTAAAGGAATAACTACTCAGCGGACAAAAGCCCCGACCTGCATTGAATTAAACCTATGAAAGTCTTATTTGGTAGTTAAGATCATTTGTTAATTCCTCACTAGACATAGACCTGTTTCAAACTTGTTATGCTCACGTCAGTGTGCCATAGTAATGGAAAAGACAAATAATAATAGCAAACTAGGCTAGCATAAGCAGACTCAAGCAAGACAGACATAGTGAGTGATAAGTGTATCCCTCTGGTGGTTGGGGTTACTACCCGTCAGATATCACCGATATCTTAGTGACTGATAGCGACCTGCATTGCAGGTATCAAGAACTGTGACTTATAACCTGAGCTCATCCCTCCAGGAGTTCCAAAGCATATTCCTCAAATGCTCTGACATCGATTGCATAACCACAGGATAAGGTGTGAATACCAAATCGCGTAATAACTTCTTCATCTATGCCTATAATTTCACTGGAAAGAGAGGAGTTAGCAAAAAATCGTTGGAGCTATATTGCCGTCATTAGTGGTTCCACAATACCTCCACTCTTAGGTATATCCACGAGCAATCATATTCTATATCTGAGGTTCTGCTGTATAGTACGTTTCTTGTTTTCGAAAATCTGGTTTATTTTCGGTTCCTCGAATTTGACAAACTTTAAGTTCTAATCTGTACGAAATGTGCAGCAAATATTCAAAAAAGCTGATCCAGCCATGTAAACTTGACAATCCAAATTTAAAACTGTTATTTTTAACTTTTTCGATGGCATTCATATCTTTGGGAGTTGCCGTACGTTACATATATATATTTTTTTTTTTTTATATATACATATATATATATATATATATATATATATATATATATATATATATATATATATATATATATATATATATATATATATATTCCATACCATCGTCATCACACAAGCATGAGAAAACTGCAATTTCTTCATTACCTAACATATCAATACTCGGTAGAAGTTCCGAAATTTGATTTTCTATGTATGCTGTCTCCTGTACCGTCAGTTCTTTCGTTTCTTTCTTTGAATTGGAAGCGTACAGGTCTACAAAATCGAGTTGACGATGGACGGGGATTTTGCCACACAATTATTTTATCTTTTCCCAGGCTTGTTCGGCATACAGTTGAAATGGACGTTAGAAACAAATCACCATCACGAAGACTCAACCTCGGCGAACATTTGTTCGTATTGTGATTGACCTGTGCTTCCATGACTTCCCCATTTTATCAACAATTTCAAATTCATCAAAAAGATCATTTGTTATTGAAAGAAGAACCGGTTTCTGCAATTCTTGTATCTGTTTTACTGTATGGTCCAAGAGATCTTGTAATCAAATTTCTGCAGATATTCGGTTATAATTTGATAGAATCGAATTTTTGCTCCCGGAGCAAGGGTGATAGGAGGGATAATATCGGCAAAATATTTTTCGGTTATCCGTTCTGAACAAGATAGGAGTGTCTACTATCTTTCGCTTCACTCATTACTGACAGAGCTTCGTCTGGGTAAGTGGAATTATTTCTTACAACTTCTGACTCTTTTGCCAAGCTTTCCTCGTTTTATTGGCTCTAGT